CTGCAGGCCTGGAGGCAGCCGAGGGGCACACACGCCGGCTATCGCCGCCACCTCGCCCTCACGGGGCGCCCTGCCGCGCGGGGGGCTCCGGAAGGCGAAAGGGCGGGTCCTGAGGCCGCGGCTCGAGGGCGGGCGATGGGCCCGGTGAGCGCGCAAGCGAGCGAGAGCCTGTGCGCACCAAAAAAACGGCTGCCGCTCCCCGCGCACCGCCCCTCCCCGCCCCCAACGAGCAGCTGACAGCTGGTCTCTTCGCGGACCCCTGACCCACTGCTCTAGTCCACAGACGAGGTTTAGCACACCCCTTCCACCCCGCTCCCCCTACCTTCAAATGAGCGGTGTTCTCGGGGAGTTTAGAGTTGTGCTTGGGGACTGGGGGCTGCCCGGCTGAACAGGCTGGGACGCGCTTACCTATGGGCCTTGTGCAGAGGCATGTAGTCCTCCTCGACGTGGCAGCAGGAACCTTCAAAGCAGTAGGACAGGCTGATATTCTAGGAGCAGCAGGGTTTAAAATGCTTCCGAGGCTCAAAATTTCACTTTTTTTTTTTTTCAGTTCCGTGGAACACAATATCTCTAGTAATAGATTTGAGATCTTGGCCTCTCTTTATTTTAACCAATTTTCGGGAGAACTTGGGCTGGGAATTGCAAAATGTAAGGAGGTTTAAGAGTAAAACTCGGGACTTTATAACCCTCTGCCTTATGAACACTGTAAGACACTATAACTGGAATTAGGTATGCATACACTATAAAGAAAGTCTTCTTAACACCAGGTCCTGGGGAGATAGGAGCCTAAGTCCAAAAATAAAATTAGACTTTAGATATTAGGGGTTTCCTCTTCTTGCAAAGTAATAACTTTAAACTCCGGGTGTCTCAACAGGAGACATTTGGAATGGATACGGCTTTTTCATGGGGGCGCTGTCTTGTGCATTTGTAGAATGTTGCAGCATCCCTACATTCTGTCCACTAGATGCCAGCAGCACTCCACTCCTCCCTAGTCTTGACACTACAAAGTGTTACCAGACATTGCCAGATATTCCCCAGGGGGTAAATGTGCCCCCAGTCGAGAACCACTGCTTTAAAGTGATGCTAAGACTATTCTTTAGCCTTTATTACTTACTTGTCCTCAAGCTCCGAAAATAGTCTTGTTTTCTAGCTTCTCATCAAAATTTTGAGAGAGTCCTTTTAAAACTCTGTTATCTGAATCCATCAAAGCCAAAATGATATGTCGGCAGATACCACTCCACTGCAAAGTCTTCTGTATGCAGATGTGCAAATCTGTGCTAATATGAGAAAAGTACTTCCTCTGGGCTGACTGGTTATAAAAGGTACATATGGGTGGAATAATTATCAAAGTGTTCTTTCCAATCTGTCTACAAGACTTGATTGTCAGAACCCTCTCATCCACACCAGTGCTACTACTGAAGACCAAACAAACGTCATCCCTTATCTGACTGTAACACTATCCTCTTAAACGATGCCCATTCTTTTGATTTTTGTGCCCCTAAAGTTCATTTACCAACTGGCAATCAGAGTAGTATTTTTTAAAAAAATTCAGAGTACATCATTTTTCTGTTCAAAATTCTCCAGTACATAGAAACAGACCTCAAGAAAATCCAGATGTTGGAATTAAGAGAAAATAAATTTATAACAATTATTATAAGTATCTTTACAAATGTAAATGATGGTCGTAAGAAGGAACAGATGGGGAATATCAGAAGAAAAATGAAAAAGACAAAAATAAACAAATGTAAGTTTTAAAACCAAAAAGTACAATATCTGGAATGGAAAATTCACTGGATAGTCTAAACATCAGATTATAGGTACAGAAGAAATGATTAGTGAAATCGTAAACAGATTCTTAGAAATTATCTAGTATAAAGAACAGAAAGATTTGGGAGTTATCTCTATTGTTAATATAACTTTAAATTCATTTTTTATTTACAGTTGACATACCATATTACGCTAGTTTCAAGTGTATAACATAGTGATTAGATGTTTATACACCTTACAAAGTGATCCCACAGATAAGTCTAGTACCCATCTAACCCATCTAATACATAGTTATTACGGTATTATAAACTATATTTCCTATGCTGTACTGTACATCCTCATGACTATTTTTATAACTGGCAATTTGTAATTCTTAATCCCTTTCACCTTTTTTGCCCATCCCTCCTCTAATCCCCTTCCTATCTGGAAACTATCAGTTCTATCTATGAGTCCCTTTACGTTTTATTTGTTCATTTTGTTGTTTAGATTCCATCTATAAGTGAAATCATATCATATTTGACTTTCTCTGACTTATTTCACTTAGCATAATACTCTCTAGGTACATCCATGCTGTCATAAATGGCAAGATTTCATTCTTTCTTATGGCTGAGTAATACTTCATCGTATATGTATACCACATCTTATTTATCCATTCATTTATCTATGGACACTTAGGTTGCTTCCATATCTTGGCTATTGTAAATAAATCTGCAGTGAACATAGTGACGCATATATCTTTTTGAATTCATGTTACAAGTTCATTGGAGAAATAACCAGAGGTGGAATTGCTCAGTCATATAGTAGTTCTGTTTTTAATTTTTTGAAGAACCTCCATACTGTAGCTACACCAATTTACAATCTCACCAAAGTGCACAAGCATTCTTTGTCCGCATCTTTGCCGACACTCATTATTTGTTGATGTATTGATAATAGCTATTCTGACAAATGTGAGGTAATATCTCGTTGTGATTTTGATTAGCATTTCCCTAACAATTAGTGATGTTCTCATACATCTTTTCATATGTCTGTTGGCCATCTGTATGTCTTCTTTGGAAAAATGTCTATTCAGGTCTTCTGTCCATTCTTTAATTAGATTGTTTATTTTTTTAATGTTGAGTTGTATGAGTTATTTATGTATTTTTGGATATTAACCCATTATCAGATATATTAATTGCAAATATCTTCTCCCATTTGATAGGTTGCCTTTTTGTTTTGTTGATGATTTCCTTTGTGGTGCAAAAGCTTTTTAGTTTGATGTGGTCCCATTCGTTTATTTTTGCTTTTGTTCTCTTTGCCCTAGGAGACATATGCAAAAAAAATGTTGCTAAAACCAATGTCAAAGATTTTACTGCCTCTATTTTTTTCTAGGAGTTTATGGTTTCGGGTCTTAAGTCTTTAATCTATTTTGAGTTAATTTTTGTACATGGTGTAAAAAAATGATCTGATTTCATTTTTGCATGCATAACAGAAAGAGATTTAAAAAGTATGAAGATAGCCTTAGTGACTTGTAGGACAATATCAAGTGGTCTAACATATGTGTAATTTGATTCCAAGAAGGAGAGGCAAGACAGAGTGGGGCAGAAAGAATATTTGAAGAAATAATGGCCCAAAATAGCAGTTCCCATTAAGTCTTCAGTATGCTCATATTTATCTCAGAGTCTGCTTCCGGGGAAACCGACCTGTGACATTCATTGCCAGGAATGACCCAAGAAAGTCAGTGCGGATGGAATTTGGAAGCCAGATCATCCACTGCTAGTAAAGAATACCTTACCACTTTTGGAAGGTGAAGTACGGATAGCCACTGGCAATTGTTAAACTTTCACCAGTGGTGAACTGGGATCATACACTGGTGGAAAGGAATGCCAAAAAATATGGTGGAAATACCAATTATAAAAATAAAGAAATTAGGTGACAATGGCAAAGCTTGATTGATGCTCTGGGAAAAGATAACTGGCAATTTAAAGCTAAGTGTGAAAGCCAGAAGTCCTTTTTGGTAGCACTGAGAGAGGCCCTCAATTCCTGCAGTGAATGCTGAAGACTAAGACTTAATATTAAGAGTATCAGAGCTCCAAAGAAGGTGAAATTCTTAAACAATGCGTATTTTCTATGCCAATGTCAAGGCCCTTGTTGGAAAAGGGACCATGACACATGGGACGGGGTTGACAACACCAAAAATCATGAGTCCTCAGATTCTTAATAACTAACATCCTCCCCCTACCCCCTTTGAAGACCATGCAGAAGGTATTCCTCAGCAAGACATGAACTCCCCCAGGTTTTCCCCCCATCTTCCCTCTTGATACCGTGGCTCATACATAGGCTTATGTAACCACAAAAACAGGCCACAGATGTACTGCACCTGATAGGGCCATATCCCAAAGCAATTGCAGAATCTATTCATGGAAGGCCTTGGTAAGACACAGAGCTCCAGAGGGCAGACAGAACCTCTAAGAAGTTTCAAGGGCCCACCACATTAGTAAAACTTTAGGGTTCAATGTCCTATGGCATTCCAAGACGTCCCCTTCAAAGTACAGGCCAAATTATTGCTTCTTACACATGCGTTTCCCACCATGAAGAAGGAAGCACAGTGCCGAAGACCTCTTTGGATCATAGAGACAGTATATTCCACTACTGAGAATAATGCTAAGACTTCATTCTGTGTGACAAGAAATGCTGCCATCTTTGAGTGGGGGCTGAAGTAGCTGAAATGGTTTTGTAGTAGATCCAGGTAGCAGTGCAAACAGCCCTGCCTCTCAAGCAATATACCCTGACAGATCCTATAGTATTGGAAATACCAGTGGTACAAAAAGAGCCATTAGATTTATGACAAACTCTAATTAATGCAAGAATCACAATGCAGATACCAATAGTTTTGGAACAAGACCATGCCATCTGCAGCAGAATATATTGTTCTGACAGGACATCAAATGACCATGCTCATGGAACAGCCCACCCTGAGCTGATTTCTGTCAGATCCACTATGAATCAAGGTTACGAAGGCCCAGAAGAAATCCACAGAAAGTTTGGAGTAGTCCATGTAGGATCAAGAACAAGCAAGACTAGACAGAACAAATGAACTACATAAGCAGCTAGCCCAGACACCAATGTCATCCTCTACTGTTCACTAGTGCCTCTCCCCCAGGTCATAAGGGGACC